GTAAATATTTGCTATTACTGTTGATTTTTAGCTTTCTGTTTTTTTCTGTGCGTTGAATATGCTCAGAATATTCTCTGAATATGCTAAAGATATTTTCCGCATATGCTAAGCATATTCTCCGTATATACTCAAGTCATTCACCGAATATATACAGGATATTCATAAAATATACCCAAGATATTTTTTGAATATCTCCAGTATATGCTCAGGACCAGAAAGTAGCGGACATTTGAACATTCGCAGAATATACTGAGTATATCTCAGGATATTTTTCGAATATTCTGAGAATATTATTAATTTCCAAGTCGGATATACTCAGAATATTCTCAGAATATCCAAATGCTATCTGGGGAAGCATTGAAATTCTATAGTTAAACTCTACCGGTTCCGGCATAACAGTTATTGGCCGTATAAACCAGACCTAAAAGACTTGAAGGGAGAAAAATCGAGAGAGCAGTAACCAGTCTCTCTCTCTCTGTTCTGAATGATGGAAGTTATACCTGGTGTTCGTCAGATCTGTCTAGCCGTTCTTCTCTTGATTTAACTGTAGTCTCCCAAGATCTTGCCGCTCAGTGTTTCTGGGAGGTATGCGAGTTCCATTATGGTAGCGACCACTTCCCTGTAGTCTCCAAAATACGCTGTCGTTTTTCAGGTCGAACGGCCTGCCGTCCATATTACTCAGTGGGTAGGGTCAACTGGGAACTCTTTAGATCACTGTGTGTGTCTCAGGTCCCGTTCCTCCCAAGCTTAGATGTTATTGATAAGAAAGATGTTAATACTGTTTACTCTAGTCTTACAAAACTCATAGAAGATGCGTTGTTACAGGCGGGGGCCGCGAAGGTCTGTAAACAAGGTATCTCTAGGAAACCTCCATCCCCCTGGTGGGATGCTTCATGTGCTGAGGAACATAAAAGAAAGAAGGAAGCCTGCAAACAATTTCTTGCTCATCCTAACAAGGAAAACTTCGACAATTACAACAGGGTCTTAAAGGAAACCTACAGGTTCTTCAGGAAAAAGAAAAGAATCGCCTTCCGAAAGTTTTGTGAATCCCTCCATGCTAATTCGGACGTAGGATCGGTTTGGAACACTGTCAGAGCCTTCTCTGGTGCTCGTAGTAAGTCTAGATATGCAGGGAATAGAAACTGCCTTGACCAGGATGGATTGTGTCAAGCGATGGAAAAGATTGCCCCGTTAAACCCTGGTGCTGCCCCCGGAGGTGAGGATATAGTTCAGGAAATGGGGTGTTTGAACACAGAGGTGGATGGGTCGTTCATGGAGAACCCAATAACCCAGGACGAATACGCATCTGCGATAAAGTCCCTAAAGGTGCGTTCGGCCCCTGGCCCTGATTTGATAACCAATCTTATTATTACCCAATTTCCTCCTGAGTTACATCGGTACGTTCTGGACTTGTATAACTGGGTGTACTCACAGAAGGTATATCCAGAACAGTGGAAACAGTACTTTGTAATACTGATCCCGAAACCCGGTCGTAGTGGATCGTACAGACCCATCTCGTTAGCCAACAACTTGCTAAAGGTACTGGAAAAAATAGTGTGCAGAAGACTCGAGTGGTGGGCAGAAAACAGTAAAGCCTTCTCATCCCATCAGTTTGGGTTCAGGCGGGGTTTGTCCTGTACAGATAACCTATCTATGCTCATTTCCAAAGTTAAGCTTGCTAATAACACCCGCAGAATCACCGGCGCGGTTTTTTTAGACGTTGAGGGCGCATTCGACAATGTGGTCCCTGAGATCCTCTTGTCAATGCTGCCGAAGTTCGGGGTGACCCCCAGTGCTGTAGCTTTTGTTGCGTCAGTGGTCAGCTTTAGAGATCTGATGGTGTATGCTTCGGGTGTTTTTATCCAGCATAGAACTACCACTCGAGGACTTCCACAGGGCTCTGTGTTGAGCCCTTTGTTGTTTAACCTGTATATGTCTCGTGTTGAGTCGAGTCTACCACCTGGGGTTGAATCACTCATATATGCGGACGATCTGATAGTTTATAGCACGGGACAGTCTATTACTGAGGTCTCCTGTCAACTGAATGCGGCCTTGTCTAGTGTCCACAGTCACCTGTTGTCTCTGGGCCTGAGTATATCGCCTAGTAAGTCAGTAGCTACATTCTATTCCTTAAATTCTTTAAGGAATACTAAGTGGCTAGTCAAAAAACATAATATTAAAATACAAATTGGACAGTCACCTGTGAAGGTGGAGTGGAGTGTAAGGTTTTTGGGTGTTTATATCGACTATAAACTTAGTTGAAAAAAACATGTTGCTGTGACACGTGATAAGGTTCTTCCTAGGGTAAATATCCTAAAGGCAATTGCAGGTATAAAGTGGGGTGCACACCCATTAGTATTGATGACGGCATATAGGGGACTGGTGAGGTCGGTCCTTGAGTGGGGCTGTCATGTCACCTTCCCTCTCGGTGAACAGGAAATGCAGGTGCTAGATAGGTTACAGTATGCGTGTATTAGGGTCGCGTGTGGCCTTATGCGAACTACCCCGACCAATGTGTTGTTAGACTTAGTGTGTGAACAACCCCTGGTGTATAGACACAGGTACCTTCTTAGCAAGTATGTTTGCAGGACCTTGGCGAGGACCAACCACCCGGTGGGACGGTTGATCGAGGAGAATTGTGCGAACTGGACTCCAATCTGCGAGGGCGTCCAATTTGGTCTTATGGAAGTTGGCAAGGAGTTAATGCCAGTCACTAGGAATATTGTCAGGTATACGTTGCCGGGTAGCTTGGCCCTCCCTTTTGGGATGGGTTATAGAAAGTGTTGTGTGGATACTGAGGTAGGATATCGAATACGTGGATCTGAGGATCCCCAGAGGGTGTTCTCAGATTATCTGTCGGAAATTGGTGCTACTCGAGTATTTTTTACAGACGGCTCTTTGGTCCGCCTGAATGACAATGCTTCTCCGGCAGCTGTGGGATTTGCTGTTGTGTCTGAAAACCCAGTGCTGGTCCATCAAGAACGAATTGGCGCTTCATCAACCATTTTTGACGCGGAGGCGATGGGAGTGCTATGTGCACTGGAATATGCGGATGATCTTGGTTTCTCGTCAGTAGTAGTAGCCTCGGACTCACTGTCTGTGTTACGTTGCCTAGAATCATTGGACCCGAAAGGGAGTCATTCCTCAGTTGTGTACAAAATAAAGGAGATAGATGTGAAATTAGAAAGAAAGGGAGTCAGAGTTAAGTTTGTCTGGATACCCGGTCATGTAGGAGTACACGGCAACGAGCTTGCTGACTCTCATGCAAAACAAGCCTTGTCTCTACCTGAACCGGCTGAAAAACAGGAAGTCTCTTCCCTCTTCCCGTCTATCAAGTCGAATATCTTACAGATGTCCAGAGAGCATCTCCTTAGTTTGTCACGTTATAAGAGAGGTCGTTATTTTAGATATGTACCGGAACCGCTGAGCAAACCTTGGTATTCTAAGACTAAGAAAGGGAAGTTCCTCCCTAGACAGTTAATCACTCTGGTGTCTAGAATCCGTACACACCACACAGCAGTGAACAGTCACCTGTTTGAGAAAAATATAGTTGGTAGTGCGAGCTGCCAGTGCGGCCAACCGGAGCAGAGTGTTAATCATGTCTTCTTCCATTGTCCATGTAATAAAGAAAATACGGACAGGTTGCTAATCGATTTGTATCACAATGGGTTTAGCCCTCCGTGTAGCGTTGAAAAGGTAGCCTTTTCTGATAACTTTAGCGCCATGTTTGCTTTGTTAAAGTTTGTCAATACAGCCAACATAAGTGTATAACCGTCCTAGTAGGTCGTTATCTCCTTTGTAAACAAGCTTTTACCCTTTCCCTTCCCTTACCCTCCTACTCCTTTTACGTTTACCCTTCCTGCTTGTTCCCCTATCATTACTAGATCCTAAGTCTCAGTACACAGCGCAGCAGACAGCTTGGTGTCGTATCCAAACCAACCTGTGCGCTTAAAGCAAAGACTGGCCGGTGCCTAAACAGTTAAAGGGGCACGGTGCCATAAGTGCAAAGAAGAAGAAGACCTAAAAGACGGTGCCGAGGCGTGTGCCGGCAGAATCGTCCCGAAAGGTGTTGCCGCCAAAGACTCTACTCGACAGAGCATCGCTCGTCTAACTTCGCGTCGCATATGTGACATTGCGGGTGAAATAACTGTACAAGAAAACAATAATAAAGAAAGAGTTGTGGTTTATTTAAAAGAAAAAATACAAGTTAATTTTCGACGATCTTCCCTCGCAGCATCCTAAAGATTCCACGGGATAACACTTGTATTATAGCTACTATGTTACTACAATATATATAGGACAATTCAGGACTCTCTTAAGTCTTGAATCTGGCGCGGATATAGTCCCAGACGTGTACAAAAAGTTTTGATTCAGGAATTTCCTTTTGGAACAATAATAAAACCATTTCTACTAGGTAGAGTACTATTAAAATGGTTTTAAGGACGAAAGGTATGTAGGAACATACACTTTCATAGTCGAATTCCATATTTATGAATTCCTGAAAACATAATAAAACGTGACTATTTTAGAATTGTAAATATGAAGATACCTTGGTTTATATTGTTAGCCCACATAGCACGTAATATTACTGCAATATCATAGTAAAATTGCAATATATCTAATATTAGATATTATAATATAATATTACAATAATATTATTTATTGGACTATAAATAAAATATTTTAAAACTAATAAATTTTTGTATGATATGTCGAATATCTTTTTCAGTAATATTACTCAAACGTATGTATCACTCTGCATTGTACTGTTGGACTAATTATTAATGAAAAATATATCCGTAACATTTATAAAATTGTATATAGACATATATGTATATGTATATGTGTATATGTATGTATATGTGTGTGTATGTATATCTATGTGTATGCATATATATGTATATGTGTATGTATATGTATGTAAATTTTACATATTAAAATGTTAGTAAAGTTAATTTATTATGCATATAGTTTTTACAGTGTGGGTATAATTGTGTGCAGGATTGGTAAGATAATAAATTTATCGTGGTACGGAATTTTAAGCTTTGGCGCAAATATTTTGACAAAAATATGATTCTATATATCTGTTTTGCCATACTGTAACTATTTCTAAATATTGATTCCTAAATGTGGTTTGCAAGATATAAGAAACAAATTTGTATTATAAGGTTTTGTTCCTATAATAAATTATATAAATTATTATCAGGTTTGTTCCTATAATATATAAATTTATTATCTTGACTTTTAGCGATATTAAGGACGCAGACGATAATATTATCTTTTACTATAACGCAGTTATTTTTATTATTGTTTACATAAAATAAAACAATTTAAATAAAATAAATCTAAATACAATGTTTTATATTCTTCTATATATGTAATCACGTTCATGACTCAATGGATTCATTTTTATGATCTCTCTCAAGAAATCTTTTGTTACGCACTTCGGAGCAGTTAATACAAAAATTGAACTCATAAAGTCTTTGATCTGTTGAAGTGGTTTATCTCCTTTTCGTATTAATTTTTTTTTTTTTATTAAGTTATCAATGCAGTTTTAGTAAGAATGGCTCCAAGTTTTTAAATTATTTCTAAGGTGGAAAATATAGGCCGATTGGAGTCTAAACACGATTGTTAATGTGTCAGATAGTTATGAATTTATTATTAAAAATGTTATAGACGTTTCGATTACCATTTCTGATTTCAAAATTTATTATTGTATAGATATATTGAAAAGAACTTGATCTACGGTCGAAACGTCTGTAACATTTTAATAATAAAGTCATAACTTTCTGACACATTACCCAGACAGCACACAACATCCATTGGACGTCCAAATTTGGGTCTTATTTAGTCCAAACGTCCATGAACATTATATGTATGTTTTAAAAATGTACATTATTGGACGTACTAAGTATATTTACATTTAGATGTTTTAAAAATGTCCATATTATAGCTGTTTTATTTTGACATGCAACGCAATATTCTTTAGTTTTGTAGAACTAAATCTCAATTACTTTGAGATGACGCAGTGGTTGAGCATACAGGCAATGATTTTACTGATTCTTCGAGTCCTCGTGACTCTTATTTTTTCTTTTTTTAAATTTTATTATTATTTTACAATAATTTTTAAGTTGTTTTTATTTTAAAGTTATTACAATTATAATAAAAGTTAAATAAAAGTTAAATAAAAGCGACATAATTACTAATTTTTTAACATTGTTTTATTGTAAATAAAAAAATTATATAAAAATCAAAAATTAATGTAAAATATTAGCAAATTGAAATAAAAAAAATAAAAAATAAAAAATAACAGAAATCACAACAGGACTCGAACCCGCATTGCAAGATTATCATGCTCTACCGCTTCACCAAAGTAATTAAAATTGAAATCTGGGTGCATCCAGAAGCACGACCGCTCATATTGATAAGAGTTTTAGCATTAAACAAAATATTATAATTAATATATTTATTTTATTAATAAGATTGATTTATTATTTTTAAAATAGAGATTCTTAAATATATATATATATATTAAAAATTATATTAAGAAAGAAATAGTTTTGTCTTTCGTTATTTTTAAAATATAAATCCCTATATTTTTCAATGAAATAAACGTTTAAAATAGGTTCATTTGTGGTGCGTTATGTACTTAAAATAGGCAATTTTAAAACATCCAGGAAGGTAACTGAACGTCTTTAGAATATCCTAAAAATGTTTAAGGACCTAATCTGAACATTTTAAATATGTACAAAACGTCCAATACCTATGTTTTTAATATGTTTTTAAAACATCAGTGTGCTATCTGGGTAACAACCGTGTTGAAACTCCAATCGGCCTATATTTTCCATCTTAGAAGTAATTTAATATTAAATTAATCTATAACCTTACAATATTACAATAATATTCTTGATATATCACCGCAATATTACTGTGATATATTATCGTAATATTACTGAGATGCAATTCGGCGGACATTTTAACATTACTGTGATATTACAGTAATATTACTATGATATTTCTACTATATTAGAATGTAATATTGCAATCGAAAAACATATAATAATATTACTGTGATATTGCAGTAATATTACGTGCTATGTGGGATGTCATCTAGATTACGTAAAAATATTATGTATGGGGTACATACCCAGATAGCCAAGTCTGTCAAAAGCAGATCAC